GCTATTGCTTAAATAGCGCTATCTACTGCGAGGATCGTGCATCATACGTATCTAATACCGCAGTTCAAAATATATGAACTTCATATATTTCATTGTATCTGATATGCTTTTTATGAAAAAACAAAAATTCTGGAGTCACCCAAGAGCAAAAGTAAGGTGTCAGGGACCACCACTGACACTCCTAGACAACAGCCCTGAGGTTACTCCAGTGACCTTTAATTCTCAAGATGATTGTTATTTTTCCCTGTTGCTGCTACACAATTCCCTATATGTTAGTTATGAGAATTTGGTGTAAGATCAAGATAACAACTTCTGCCTGATAAGTTTGAGTATTCTCATTAACTGTATGCTGGAAAATGTGTGCCTTGGATATTTAAGGGAGAAGTCACATGTTAGCTATAGTCACTTCTGGGAGTTAATCTTTTAGGTTTGAAAATACACATGCATTTATCCAAATTCATCTTTGGATTTGGTCATTAGTTTTGAGTTTGCACATTGATGTAATATTGTACAAGTATGTAAAGGTGTGCTTTTGTGGTTTAGGCACAAATGGACCTCTACTGATGACTGAAGTTGAACTACTGATGGAAAGAAATTCGATTGGTTTAACTCATTATAAATGGTTCTTTTTTGTTCCAATATATGCAACAAAAACTTAGGAGTGATAGCACCAGTGATCATTTTACGTTTGCTGCCTGCTAGTCGAATGAATGTACAAGCACAACTAAAGAAAACTTGCAGGAACTATTTAGAAGACGCCTTAAAACCCCAAAGGTTGCACCATAGCACAGGTTGGGGGTGCACGGTCCCCTTTTCCCCTCGCACAAGGGGGGTTTTTAGGGGTTTACGTGTCCGGCTTAGGTGCATTAGGTTAGTTTTACAATTTACTGAAAATTTAGGAGTTTAATTTAAGTAAGGCTCAGATGAAAACTTTACACCTTGAGTGAACAGGTGCTGGTTTTGTTTTTTTTCTCACTAAAGTTTGGGATTTTTTTTTTTTATTTTCAGGGTACTTCTCTATTTATATTTTGTAGACTCTAGGTCAGGCATCAAATGGAAATTCTCTTCTCTAAGAAGGCAATTTTTGACTTGAAGTCAAAAATTGTGTCGAACTATTTATTTCAAAAATAGTCGCTTGAGTTTGACCATTTCAGAAGTAAAAGTTCTGGTATGAGTTTATTGGACAGCTTAATAAGCTCAAGATTAAGCTATTTTGGTACAAAATAGCTCAATGAAAGAGAAATTTCATTTAAATACTCTTTCCTTTGTCTCCTGAATGTGATTAGAGAAGTGTGCTAAAAAGAAAAATTAACTTAAAGCAAAATGATTTATTCCACTTGTACGTTTGCACCATTACACAACAGGTATGTTGTTCAATCTGAGCCTCTAAAATCAGTGGTTCTTGCTTTCATAGAATTAACTTCTTAAGGTGAAAGAAACTTTAATTTGATTACTTCCATACACTAAATTCTGAACTTGACACATCAGACTCCTCTCAAATAACACTTACTAATAACCTTAACAAGCAACTGATACTAATTCATTTAATTAATTGAGTGGGAGTTCAAGATGTTTCAGGTCTGATATAGCATCTAAGTATATACAAAATTAGAATGGTTTTATGGATTTACTCTTAGATTTAAGCCTGATAGACTGTTAAGGTAGTTATATTTATTTTCAACCACAAGTAGGAATTATGGTAATAATTTAAATAAAGAAATAATAAATAATTAGTTATTAAATTAAATATGTTGACAATTAGTGGTCTTGTGTTGATCAGACCACACAAATAAATCTTCAAAGCCTTTTGTCTCTTCTATACTTTTATCAATCTGATTTCCATCCCAGTTTAAGTCATGACCAGAGACCAGAATAGTGTATTGTTTCCTTCCCTAGAATTTCACTACAAAAATCATATCACCACAGGTTGTTTCACACCCAAACTAAGTATCTTGCCCTTAATGCAGTCGTAACAACAATTTTACCAATTATACATGAAAAGGCAAATTACCTTAGATGTGTCATGGTATACACAGAATGCAAATATGGCATCCAATTTGAATTGCCATCGTTCTGGACTGACTAGCCTCTCGCCCATGTAATAATCCTTGTGTTTCCACGTGAATACGAGGCTATAAGTCAGTCCAGAACAATGGCAATTCTAACTGGACGCCATATTTGCATTCAGTGTAGGTCTAGCATGGTTAAATGCTTCTCTTGGTGGATCCAATGTCTTCGCAGGATCCCACTCCTGACACCATGTTAAGATTTTGCGTTTAATGAAAAGCAACAATAAGTATAATATGAAATAAAGTTACCTGAAGCATGCTTGCCATATATAGACCCAAGTGACACACCATGTATGGTGTGTCATGCTAGACATACCATGACAAGATGACAGACTTTTTTCTAGTTTTTTTTTTTTTTGTATCAGTAGCACTGTAGTAAGAAATCCACCATGATCAACAATAATTGCCATCATGATGATCACACTTGGAGTCAATCATTTGGTTTGAGGACAACTTTACCTGGACATTATAGCACAAGGGAACATAAATAGCAGGGAAATTAACCACCATATGTAGTGCTCTAAAGACATAGGGTACCATCTCATATTGGTTGAAACAAATCCAGGAAAGATTTCAATACAACCCCAACATTAATTATGCATTCCACTTCATAAAGACTAAATATAAAGGTTTCTTTGCAACGCTCTATGCATAATTATGCATGGGTTTATATGGAAATCTTGCCCAAATCCATTCATACCTCTCAAAGGAACGGAAAGGTGTAGAGAGAGAGCGGGGGGGGGGGGCCTCTTTATTCTATTTAATATTCAAAGAGCCTGAAGATCACTGAAGGGGCTAACATCCCAACCTCAGGACAGGTTTCTCAGATATTCTGTCTCGTTTCACCAAAATTTCGGGCTTCCTTATTAAGGAAGTAAAAATTTCAGTATCGCCAAGTTTCGCACAACCGCAATTTCGAGTTCCCCCCCCCCCCTCCCTCTGACATGACTTTGTTTCCTGCTACTCAGTGCGTTAGTCTTACCTGGTTTAGGGATCCCTGGCCGTGGCTGCGAATCGACTGTACTTGTTAGCTTTTTCAAATAATTGATGAATTATCGCAATCCAAAGTAAACAAACGGTATAAGAGAAGAAACTCTAGTTGCACCGGTGTAATGACTGCGGCAATTTTGATGAATGGGATGCACTTGACGCCATTTTAATGCGCGATGCTCTCGCGTGATCCCAGAAGCACTCGCGGACTATTATTATTATTGTTATTATCATTATTACTATTACTATTATTATTATTTTTATTATTATTATTATTATTAATATTATAATTATTATTATCATAATCATTATTACATTTATTTACTTTTAGTAATTAGTGTAGCTGGCGTTTTTGTGCGCGCCAGGCGAGCAGCGAAGCCGCGAATGGGAAAAAGCCTGCTAAGCGTGTGGTTTTCGGCACCCTTCCCCCGTAGCTTGATGCAGCCTGAAGTATACGGTCCCGATTTTCACATTTCTCTTCCGTGCATTAATATATCTTTTACAAGTTACTTGGAGAAACTTTCTTCGGCGTCAAGAGTGGGAAAACAAGAAATAGCGACAATGATAAGAGGACCCAGCCGATTAATTGTCCAGCGCGGACTTGCGTCAGGCGGAATAAGGCGGTCTGGTCCAACTGCTAGAAGTTAGTCGGTGAGAAGCGCGGAAAAACTTTCCACATGAACTTTTTCGCATAGTTTGAAAAATTTAAGATGGACGTTGGGTGTCTCTGTATGTAAGCTAATATTGGTAAATCCGGATGAACGACTCGCTTTCATAGACCTGTCCCGATTGTGCTCGCAGATTTTTAGGAACTTTTAACATTTGGAGCAACCTGCGGCTTCAGGGGCAACTTAGAGCAATTTTTGCTTTTTTGAGAAACTTTTAAAACAGGTTTAGCCGTGCATATCAAGCGTGAAAAAGTCGAAGATTTCATGAAAAACTAACACGTAACCTTACGAGCATTTTACGAGCACAGTCGGGAAAGGCCCACGCTTAACAGGCTGAAGATCAAAAAATGCCTTTTGCTCACTAGCAAAGTAAGAGTAGTTTATCAAGCTTACAACAAAGTAAAACCGTGCCATTAATCATGAGACAAAAGGTAGACCTTCTTTTCCCGACATTCGAAAGATAAATTTTGTGATCCTAACATCAGAATTTTTCTTTTCCTAACAGTAACAGAAAGAGGAATTTCGTCACGTGATAAAATATGCCTCTCTGCCTTAGTGAACGATGGTTCAAAGTTTATATCACCATGACTGCAATGAAGATTATTTTAAAGTTTGATTCAAGTGATAACAAGAGCAACTTCCGTCATTCAGATTTAAAATCCAAAATTTACCGCAATTCCCCACCACCCCTCGCTTCCCCTCATCCCCTCCCTCGCTTAGGAGGGCTTACAACCACTGCGGCTGGATGGGGCAGTCCATGACTAGACTTAGCCACAAGTTGCGTGGCAACTTTTAGGCAACTTTTGAGATTTTCGGCAACTTTTTAGAATTTTGGTAGCTTTTAGAATTTTCGGCAACTTTGGGCTTTTTGAGGTTCTTTGAAGCCACTTTCTTCACGTTTTGAGGCACATTGGTTAGTTTTCGATAGACATTTATTCAATTTATTCTAAAATACAATAATTAGGGACCCCCCATGGGTTGATTTTTGTGATGCCTAATCGCGAGGTCAGCGGTATCACGTTGCACGTTTTTCAACATGGCGGACAATTACAGTGACTATTTTTTGATCAAGTGAAATGGAAAGAACCTCTGATATTATCATTGTACTTTGACAAATAAAGTTTTGATAAGAAGCAATGTGCGAATTTTTAATCTTTAACACCCAAAAAAGGAACGAAAAACAGAAACATTTTGGCAACTTTTCGACAACTTTTTGGAAATTCAGCAACTTTTCGGCAACTTTTTGAAAAAAATAGCAACTTTTTGGCAACTTTTAGACACTTTTTTCGGAATTCATCGGCAACTTGTGGCTAGGCCTATCCATGACCCAGCCCCTCAGGAATAACTGAAGGGTCTCCATGGGGTGATGGCTTTTACGGCTACAAATTTTGGCTGATTTACAGCTAAAGGTTGATATATTTCCATTGTGGTAACCAGAAAACAATTTACGGTTAATTTTTTTTCACAAAGGCTAAATTTGTCAATTTTTACGCCCAACGGCTAAATCCTTTGGCCGTTTTCGGTTAAGACCCTCTAACAAGTGATTCTCTTGGGAAATGGTTTAGGAGATAAACAAAGTGCATGAATATCAATTGAACGTAAAAGGAGTTATGATAAACAGCTAGTGTGATACACTTCCATGCGCATATCATTAACTGGGACATAGCCAGGGAGGAGCTATTGCAATGAGTTACTGCAATACAATGCACCTAATCAATGCACTAAGAGCTCTCACTAGCGCATGCGTAGTCAACAAGCTCTCTCGACAATATCTACTTGTCCCCTAATGTGTCGCCTGTTGTTTACTGTGTCAATCAAAATTCAAAGCTATGACATCCCACCTCCGCAATCCCGGGAGGGGGATGGGGATGGGGTCGCATAAAAGTTTCACTTTATTTGCATTTCCGGTTGACGTATGCTCTTTGTTACGGAACAATCACAAGGACCCCAGACACGCGACGAGTCTGGCTGTTTATTCGAGATATAAAGGAATGTATGGGAGAATATTGAAGAGTCTTATTATCGTAAACTTATATCATGAAATGTCTGAGTTAAAGCTCAAAATAAATGTAAACCTACCTCACTTGCTGTGTATTGTCGTTTCTGTGTATTGTCGTTTTAGAGCCACAGAAACGACAATACACAGCAAGTAAGGTAGGTTTACATTTATTTTGAGCTTTAACTCAAACATTTCATGATATAAGTTTACGATAATAAGACTCTTCAATATTCTCCCATACATTCCTTTATATTTCGAATAAACAACCAGACTCGTCGCTTGTCTGG